ACTACGCTGACTACTACTACTACTACTACTACTACTACTACTACTGCTACTACTACTACTACTACTACTACTACTACTACTACTACTACTACTACTACTACTACTGCTACTGTTCTTACTCCTCACCCTCCTCCTCCGCATCATCCTCCTGGGGCCTCATCCATCCCCCATCCCTGCCCCTCCATGTCGTCATCCTCCCCTCCATCTTCGCGCCACGTCTTTGCCATCCCCCCCCCCCCCTTCCCTGGGGGAACCTGGAGTGGGTCCCCACCCCCGCCACACACGGAGACCCCCGGGCTTTGGGAATCAGTCCCCGTCCGACCACGCTTCGGCAGCGCCTCGCGCGCAGTAATCACTCATCTCCCTCCTTAGAAGAAGAAGAAGAAGAAGAAGAAACTGGGTAGACATAAAAAATTGATGGTCCGCGCGGTTTTTTGGGGGATCTGCGCGGGGGGCCCCTCTCTGGCGCGCGGAACGCGCCAGGAGCGGCGCCAGAGGCGCCACCAGGGGGCCCAGCGCCGATCCAAGATCCAAGAGGTCCTCGTGAAGCGTCGAACGTGTATGTCTATGCAGGTGCTTTTTCTTCGACGCCTTGCCCTCCTCCCCTGTCGGGGGCGGCCAAGAGAGGGGCGTCCAAGAGGGGGGGGTGGGGGCGCAAATCATGGCTGGCGGCGTGTGCGCGGCCCAGCGACGCATTGAAATGAGGAGGAGCCCGCCATGATATCATGGCCCCCGCCATGATACCATGAACGAAGTCTGGAGAGATATCATGGCCCCCGCCATGATATCCCCCCCCCCTACTCGTCGTTCATTTCTAATCGGGCTCATTTCTAATTGTGCTCGTTTCTAATTGTTCCTGGTCCCCTTGTGGCCAGGAAGAGGCCCAGGACAGAACAATCAGAAATGAAAGGATCTTGGCCCCCAAAAAATCCAGGAATTCTTGAAGAATTTGAAACAGGAGCCATGCGCAGACATCTCCCCCCCTTGGCCGCCCCCGACCCTGTGCCTGTGGCCGCCTCCCCCCCTCCCGGTGCAAGAAACAAAGGGGGGCCGGGGGAGGGTCGCCCCCCCGGCCCGCGCGGGTCTGCACCGCCGCAGGGAGGCCCCCTCGCTGCCGTGCGCGGGGCCCCGTGGCTGCGGCCGCGCGGGCCTGGGGCGGGTGCCGTGCCTCGGCCGGCCCCGCGTGCGGGGGCGAGCACAGCAAGCGCATGAGTGGCACAGTGCTGGGCTCGGGTCGGGCATGTCCTCGTGCAGGCGGAGCTTGTGAGGAGAACGAGGAAGTGGTCAAACAAGATGGGATAGAACGGAGAAAGAGCACGAACAGCCGTCACCTGACGATTCTCTCTCTACGATTCTTCAACTTTCCTCCTGTAGAGGGGGACATGCCCGACTTCACACTGCGAGCGGGCGGGCACAGCAGATGCACGAGTGGGTTTAAGTCGGGCGTGTCCCCCTACAGGGGGATTTTGGGCGAAATTCTCCAAAATAGTAGAAAAATGCCAAAAAATAGTCCCCAGACTATTTCTTTACTATATTCGAATCTCCCCCCTGCAGAGGGACAGGCCCGACTTCATACTGGGCTCGGTGCTCTGTGGCAGACATGAGCACGCTGTGCCTCGGCCAGCCCCGCGAGCCGGCGAGCGAGCACAGCCAGAGGAGGGGCGCCCCGCCTCGGAACGGAGGACGCACTTCTCCGCGCCGCGCGGAGCCCGCCAGCCACGCCGGGGACAAAAAAAAAAATGCCGGGGGGAAGCAACGGAGACACCGATCTTGGAGTCCCGAAACGGTGCGGTGACAGAGCGTGCGGTGACCTCGAAATCCCCCAAGACCTCACCGCACGGTCCGTCACCGCACGGTCTTGGGACCCCAGAGGCCCCTGTCGCCCGAGGCGTCCTCGGAGAACGACCCGAGTCCCAAAACCGTGCGGTGACCCCGAATCCCGAATCCCCACCGACTCACCGCACGGTGTGGTCACCACTCCTTTGGGGTCCACCAAGCCGCAACCCTCTGAGCCTTTCACCGGGACGCAATCGAGGTGAGCCCAGCAGTGGCGACGAGGGCCTCCAGAGAGGGCCCAGAAGGGCGAAAACGACAAGGGCATCGGTATCGACGTGCTTCTCCCTCTAAAAATACAGGGCACCCAGGTGCCCACTGGCGTCTGGGCCCGCCCAGAAGGGGGCGGACAATGCCCACGAGGCCGTCCCGCTTCCGAGGCCATGCCTCCTCACACGTGCTCCGACGGAAGCACGGTGGAGCGCCCAGCGTTGGCGTGAGTCTGATCCATGTCTGATCACGCATGTTATAGCCAGCGTGCAGCATATCCACATTCCTAGGGTTGGCATCGCCTTCCCTCGGCGCCGATCTCCATGACCCCACCCCCGCCTCTGGGGACGTATCCCTGAGGCTGTCATCGCCCTGGGCTTGCCAATCTTAGGGCAAGAACGGGCTCGAGGCTGATGAGCACAGGCCACTGGCCCCTCGGCACTCGCCGACAAGCCTGTCAGCCCCTGCGCGCGAGCTGCGCGCCCGCAATCACGAGGTGCTGTCTCCGCGCTGGTGACTCCTCGGCCAGCTTGTGCTGGCCCCGGCGCTTGACGTCGTCGGCCGCAAGGAGGAGGTCCTGCGGGAGGGCGCCGAGAGCACGCCTGCACCGATCCTGGCCAGGCCCATCCTCCACCCAGGACCGGTGTGTACATGTCAAGCGAGGCAAGGATGAGAACAACATCGGATCAGAATAAATCGGAGATCTCTGAGGTCCCGCGGTTCTGGAGAGTGTATCGGGCGCCGCGGCCGTTCCAAAGGGTTCCTGAACGTTCTGAGAGCGTTCCAGAACGCTCTAGGACAATTTATCCTGGTCCCAGCTCCGCCCGAACACGCCCTCCCAGCTTGGACTTGAAGGCATCACACCGTTCCTGGGCCTGGATCGGCCCGTCCAGGACCAGGATCGGCGTGGGTGTATGCTGGCGCCCTCCGATCCTGGAACAGATCCTCTGGGATGTGCGTGTTGCGGTCGATCGAAATTACGCGCCCCGACGGCAGCTTACTGAGCGTTCGGGCCGGGCTCCCAGCAGGCCTCGACTGGGTACGGTGCATTGGGAAGCTTGCGAGTACAGTCTCCGCCCCTTGCGTCAATGTGCGCCCACGGCGGCCATGAGGCATGGCCATGCGGAACGGGGCACCGCTGCCTGTTATCCCGAGCTGCCCGGAAATGAGGCTGCGTGACTTGAATCAAACCGGCTACGGCAACACGGACCTCCTTCGGAGTGAGAGCGTCAGGGTTCGCGTGAGCAGGCCGGGCTCCGCAGCGGCCATTTCGCCTGCAGCTGTAGGGCAGGCACTGCTGGGAGGTGGGGCGCTGTCCAGATACTGGACAGCACGCGGGTCAGGGTACAGTCGGGGCGTTGACCTAAGGAGCCCTACATAAGGAACGAGGCCACTTCTTTCCATACGTGAAGCTTCGGCTTCCCATCGAAAACCTGCGGAATCCCTGCGGCAAACCGTAAGGCAACGAAGGACCACTGAGCCCCTCCCATGCGAAAAGTGTTCCTTCTTCAGCGCCCCGACGGTAATGGTATCTACGCTGTGCTCCTAACTGGACCATGTGCTGCTCGATGCCCTGGGCGAGTGACTGGCCGACGCGCTGGTCGGCAGGGTGGCCAGTGCGCTGAGTGTTCGGCGCGCTGGGAGGCAATTCATGCCTGTCGGAGTGGCTGGTCGCTGTGCTCCCTGAGCTCCAACGTTGCGAAAAAAATGCAACATGGCGAAAAACCGCGAATGGAGCCCTATAGAATCCGTTTTGCTGCGACATTTTCTGGGCGGGATCGATCTGTGAGGATCCCGGGGCCCGAAATTAGATAAAAACGCCCAGCGCGAAAACATTGCAACGTCTGGAAGTGCGGTGGCCGCAGTCTCCTCCTTATAGCCAAGCTGCCCTGCTGGGACTTTTGATAATTGATTCCGCCCCAGAGTGGCCACGAGGTTGCTCTAGGGCTGTCTCTGAGCGTCTAGGCCTTTAGGCAGCCTGTCGCCATCAACTACGACAACATTGCTACGCCGGGACCTCAGGGCTGGTCGAGCTGCCGCGCCACAGCGCGGTGGGCGGTGGGAGAGCCACTGCGGCATGGGCGCTTGCTAGCGGCGCGCTTCGGGCCCGCTCGGCTCAACACGCGAGAGGGGCCCTGGGCAACAGCGACCTTTGGTGCGCGCCTCTCTGGGGCACACGACGGTTTTGTTTGCTTCGCGATAGCGGCCGTGACCGACCCTGACCGCCACCCCCATGATCCCCCGCCCAGGTAACGTCACGATTCGTGCTGGTGCCCGACGTGTCTCTGCCTACTCTGACGTTCCGAGGCGGCACTGGCGCGAAAGGTGACGTGACTGGCCCCCCACCCCCTCTCCCCCCCCACCCACTGGTAGCGCCTGCTATCTTCGGCTACACGTAAGAGTGACCCTGGGCAAGAGTGACCTTTGGTGCGCGGCTTTGGGGGGGCCGCGAGGAGGCCAGATCCAGGCGCGCTAGCCGCTGCTACCGCTTCGCGTTCAGCCATCTGGGGGCCCATCTGTGCCCGCACCAAAGGTCACTGCGGCGAAAGGTCGCTCTTGCGTCTAGTCGACATCTCCCAGGAATCAGGAAACGCTCTCCATGGGTGGCCGAATCCAGGTACGCCGCTTCAGGGAGGCGGGCGTGCGGCCGGGGCCGCACGGCGCGGGCCGGTCCCGAGAGGAGGAGGCGGAAGCGAGCTCCGCGTCGGTGACGGTGACGCTGCCCGCACGAGCGTCCGCAGGAGAGGGGACTGCAGTCAACCCGTAGAGTAAGGATGCGCGATAAGGATGCAGGGCCCTTGGAAGCCCATTTCGAAGTTTTCGAGCGAGGAGCGACCAACGAAAGTGGCCAAGGATGCACCAAGGAGGCAAGGATGCAAGGGTACCCTTGGGAAGGTTGCCCGTCCTTACTATGCGGGTTGACTGTAGGCGGGGCGGGCCAGGGCGCCCTAATGCATGGAGTAGAAGACGGCTTTAAAAAGGGGCGAACAGGCAACTTCAGAATGCAGGAAGCTATGTTAAGGCACATTCCACGTCGGGGTTCTGGCCAAGTCAGCCCAGGCACGCTCCCCTTCGCGACGGCAATTCCGCAGCACGAAGAAGTGAAAAGGTAAGGGCCCTCAGGGGATGAGTCAAGTCCTGGCCACAACGGAGCTGAGCTGGCAAAACTACTTATCCCTAGGTGGGGGGCGGGGGAGGACGGGCGAGCTCACTCGACAGGAGGGGGGAAGAAGCGGCTGGGCCGGCCCAGCCCTTACATAACTGCCCTGGGGCGCTGCCTCCTGGCCCCTGGGCTGCTGGGCACTGACGAGGCGAGAGCGCGGGCGAGGTGGTGATAGTGGTGCTGGTGGTGCTGGTGGAGGTGGTGGTGGTCGTCGTCGTGGTGGTGGTGGTGCTGGTGGTGGTGGTGGTGGAAGTGGTGAAAGTGGTGGTGGTGGTGGTGGTGGTGGTGGAGGTGGTGGTTCTGGTGGTGGTGGTGGTGGCGGTGGTGGTGGTGGTGGTGGTGGTGGTGGCGGTGGTGGTGGTGGTAGTGGTGGTAGTGGTGGTGGTAGTCGTGATGGTAGTGGTGCTGGTAGTGGTGCTGGTGTTGGTGGTCGTGGTGGTGGTAGTGGTGGTGAAGTGGTGGTGAAGTGGTGGCGAAGTGGTGGTGGTGTGGTGGTGGTGGTGGTGGTGGTGGTGGTGGTGGTGGTGGCGGTGGTGGTGGTGTTGGTGGTCGTGGTGGTGGTAGCGGTGGTGATAGTCGTGATGGTGGTGGTGGTGGTGCTGGTGGTGGTGGTGGTGGTACGTCGTACGTGGCCTCAATCCTGACTCTGCTGCACTCGTGACCGCCGTGCGCTTTCAGTGTATCACGCCCTCCGAATCTGCCCCCCCCCGCGATTGGTTCTCCAACCAGGGAACGCCAAGGATAGGGCGAGGACGAGGGAGAGAGGTGAAGCGGGGGGGGGAGAGGGTGGACGCCGCCGCCGGCCTGCCATGGGACACCCCTCGCAGAACATCGTGGTGCAGTCGCCCGACCATTGGTCGCAGTAGTTCGAGACGTCCTGCAGGGCCGCCACCCTAAGACAGGAAGGCAGGACAAGGAGAAATCTGGATCGGGACTAGGACGAGACTGATGGCTCAGGGCACGGTCCAGGTTTTCAGGAGTTCTGGAATATCTAGCGGCCCTCGTTTCTACAGCCTGGGCGGAACAAAAGTCCTGGAAATCCTCGAAATCTTGGGACGTGCCACTATCGTGACGTCCTGCTCCTCTGAATAAATCAGGCATGTCTGAGAGCCGGTGGGCCTGGAGGATGTATCGGGCGCCGCGTCCGTTCCAGAACGTTCCGAAACGCCCTGAGAGCGCTTTCCAGCATACTGTGGGGCGACCTATCCTCCTCCGAGGCTTGCCTAACCCCCACGAAGGGAGGGGGAGATGGGGGGACGCAAGGCGGCCCTCCCAGCCAGCGGACGCCCTCGCTCAGGAGGGGTGGGGGGAGTAGGCAGGCAGGTCGGCAGGCAGGGCGCCTGGAAACGGGCCCAGGTCGAGCCCAGACCTGCCTGGAGAGCCCCGCCCAGCTCCTGGCTGCGCAGGGGAAAGCCAGGCAAGGCAGGGGCCGCGCGGCCAAGCAGGTCGTAGGCAGGGCAGCCCGAAAACATGGGGAGCGGTCTGCGTGGCCGAGCAGGAGAGACGCTCCGTGCACCCCAGAGACCGGCGCACGCCCTTCGTGGCCGCGTCACCGGAGCGCAGCTCGCCCGCCGGGCGTCAGAGCACACAGGCCTGGAGGCCGCCAGCGTGCGGAGCTCGCCCGCGCTGGCACCAGGGCGCCACAAGGCCGCCAGCCCGCGTCAGGTCGGCTGTCGCTGCCGCGCCTCCCCCCTCCTCCTCCTCCTCCTCCTCCTCCTCCTCCTCCTCCTCCTCCTCACCCTCCTCCTCCTCCTCCTCCTCCGCCTCCCCCTCCTCCTCCTCCTCCTCCTCCTCTCCGCCTCTCCTCCTCCTCCTCCTCCTCCTCTCCCTCTCCCCTTCCTCCTCCATCCTCCTCCCTCCTCCTCCTCCTCCGTCCTCCTCCTCCTCCTCCTCTCACTACTCCTCCTCCTCCCTCATCACCTCCCTACATCTCCTCCTCCTCCTCCTCCTCCTCACTACCTCACTCCTCCTACCTCCCCTCCTCCTCCTCCTCATCTCCTCCCGTCCTCCTCCCTGCTTTCCTTTTCCCCCTCCACCTACACCTCTCCACTCCTCCTCCTCCCCGCCTCCCCCTCCACCCTCCTCCGCTCTTCTATCCTCTCCTTCCTCCTCCCTCCCTCCCTTCCTCCGACCTCCTCACTCCTCCTCCTTCCTCCTCCTTCCTCCTCTCCTCCCCTCCTCCTCTTCCCTCCTCCTCCTCCCTCCTCACTCATCCTCCTCCCTCCTCCTCCCTCCTCCCTTGCCCCCTCCTCCTCCTCTCCTCCTCCCTCCTCCTCCTCCCTTCCTCCTCTCCTCCTCCCTCCTAATACCGCCTCCTCCTCCCCTCCTCCTCCTCCTCCTCCTCCTCCTCCCTCCTCCCTCTCCATTCCTCCTCCTCCTTCCTCCTCCTCCTCCCCCCTCCCTCTCCTCTCTCCCTCTCCTCCTCCTGCTCCTCCTCCTCCTCCTCCTCCTCCTCCTCCTCCTCCTCCTCCTCCTCCTCCTCCTCCTCTCCGTAGCCATTTTGGCTCAAGATGTCTGCACTGAGGGGGCTCCGCGCCTCCGTGCCAGAAGGGATACCGCTAGTCCGCGGCAGTCTTCCATCTGCTTCTGGGGTCCCGCGGCCTCCGAGGGATCTGCAACCCCTGCAGGGGTCCTCGGTCGTCCGTGCGGCTTGGCGAGCCCCATCCTCTTCCTCGTCGCGCGGATGGGCAAAGATGGTGTACCTCAGAAGTGGCACTGTAAGACCTGCTTGCATCCCAAGTCGGGCAAGCCCTTCCTCAATTTTGCCGAGAATAAGAAGTGTTTCAACTGCGGCATCGCGAAGTCGGCCTGCTTCGGAGGCCACGTCGTCCCGGCGGTGCCCTCCAAGCGGGCTCCTTGGCTCAAGAAGGATGCCTGGGCCAAGGGACCGCCGGCCACAGACGGGGAGCTCGCCAAGTGCCAGGCCCAGATCAAGCGCCTGGAGGGCGAGCTCAAGAAGGCCAAGCAGCAGCAGGACTCGGCCAGTAAGGACGGCATGTGCTGGGACGTCGACAACGAGTGCGAGGCCGTCCCTGATAAGGATCGCCTGGCAGCCATTGACATCGAGCTCGGCACCATCTCGGCCTCGGAGGGCACGGTCTGGACCCAGATCAAGGCTGACTTGCGCGCGGAGCGGCAGGCGATCGAGCAGCGCATGCTCGACTCCCAGCCGGTGGCCTCGAGGCTTCGCACGCTGCTGCGCAAAGTCGACGAGGCCGAGCGCCAGTTGGTCAAGTCCAAGAAGCAGCAGGAGGGATGCCGCAAGCGAATCGTGGAGGCCGAGCAGGCGCTCAGCGAGTCCGACTCCCGCGTCGCCGAGCAGGAGCAGCTCCTTGCGAAGCTCAAGGCTCAGCAGGCGGCGTTGGCTGCCCAGGGCGTGGTGCTTGCGGCGCCTCAGGGCGCTTCGGCGGCGCCGCCCATTTTGCTGCTCGATTCGGAGAAGGTTCGGCAATTCTTGGCGCAGGGCCTCGACGAGCTCGGCGCCCAGGTGCCCGACCTCTCGGGCTTCGCGGTCAAGCTTTGCGAGCGCGCCCCGCAGTGCTCGCAGCAGACCCTCGTTCGTATCGAGGCGCCCGTGGGGCAGGCGCTGGCTGGCATTGCAGGCGCGCCTGGCGACGAGCGGGCGCTTGGGGCACGTCCTGTCGGCACGTCGGAGGAGGCCATCGCTGCTGCGTCGCCGCCTGTCTCGGTACCAGTGGGCCCTTCCTTGGAGCAGATGCGCTCCGAGATTGCCGCTGGAGGAGTCCAAGTGCCCGAAGGGGAAGAGGAAGTTCGTGCCCTTCATGGTAAGCTGCGGTACGCCTTTGGAAGGCGACAGGATGGTCAAGCCTCTCCGGCTTTCTCGCCTATGTAAGCCCTTTGTGATGCTGCTGCTGGCCATGGTGTCCTTCTACTTCATCATTCTGAGCGAGTGGCAGCGCCTGGATCTGCCAGTCCATGTTCCTGATGGTGCTGCGCCCGGTGCCATGGGCCTTCCTCCTCCTGGGGGTGCTCTTCCTCCTCGCCGTGATGGCGACCTAAACGGTCGCCACCATCGTCCGCCTGTCGCTGGGGAGCCTCAGCCAGCGCCGGAGGCAGGTGCCAGGTTCGGGCACGGCTCTGACCGGGCGCCACCCGCAGCAGCGCCTGGTCTTGACGCTGGGACCGCTGGTGCGCTGCCGGGCGCGGCGGCGCACGGTCCCCCCGCGGCGCATCGTGCCCAACCGGGTGAGGCCCCTGAAGCGGCGATGGTCGAACCAGCACGTCTCTTCCAGGAGGAGGTCGTCGAGGCGCCCGTGGAGCTCAAGTTGGATCTGCTTCTACCGGTGCCGCTGCGCCGTGGCACAGCCCCCCTCCACATCGCCACCATCAACGGGGACACGTGGCAAGGGGCTCGCACGGTGCTGGAGTGGAACGCCGCAGCCGGCAGGCGCTTTGACGTGGCCTTCGTTCAGGAGACGAGGTTCCCCGACTCCGAGGCGGCTGGGGGCGCTCGCCAGTGGTGCTTGGGCCAGGGCTGTCATCTTGCCCTGGGCCCTCCTCGTCGGACTGGCGCTGAGCGTCTGGCTGTCAGTGGCGGCGTGGGCCTCTGCATCGGCACGCACATTGGGGTCTTCAGTGGCATTGCTGTCCCTGATGAGTGGAGCCATCGCATTGTGGCCAGGAAGATCCACCTCGGCGAGGGCTCGGTCCTCTTGGTGATCTCTCTCTACATGATCACCTCCATCGGCCTCACTGGTGATAACCTGGCGCTCCTTGCGGAGGTGGCGTCTATTGTTGGGCAGTTCCCTGTGCCCTTCATCATCGGCGCCGACTGGAACGTTGACGCCCACGACCTTGTGGCCAGCGACTGGTGCCAGGAGGTGGACGGGATCATCGTCAACCCTGGTGTCCCGACATGCGGGGACAACGAGTACGACTACTTCGTCATGTCCCGCTCGCTGGCCCACCACACCTCCCACCCTCAGGCGTTTGCTGGCACACCTGCCGGCACTCATGTTCAGGTGTGTTGCACCCTGGGGGATATTTGGGAGCATCCGACGGCTTGGCTGGAGGATCCTCGGCGGCCCTTCTCAGTAGCCAGGAAGGCTGTCGGATCTGAGGAGTCGGTCAAGCCCAGGGAGCAGCCCACCTCCGAGTCGCAGCGGGAGGCTGCGGAGTTGCTCGAGCCCTTGGAGTGTTTGCAGACAGCCAGTGCGAGGTGATTCGACCTAGCCGAGGCCTCTCTCATCCGCTCCCAGCAGATTGACTTATCGGTTGCTCATCACCACCGTGGGCGAGGTCGAGGCATTCGTCTGGTGGAGCGGCCTTTGCTTGAAGTCCATGAGCGGCGGCAGCGCCGTCACGACTCGTCCGACACCGAGGCTTGGTGGAGCTTTCTTCGCATTTGGAGAGCAATGCTTCGGTGGGGGCAGGCCAGCCGTGGTTCTCGCGGCAAGCGACAGGTGGTGCGTGCCCGCCTTCATCTTCAGGCTCAGGCCCTGACATTACCTCCAGCTGTGGCTGGTGCCGAGGCCCGTCGTACGGTGGCCGTCGACAAGTGGCTTGGGCTTGCTGAGCGGGACAGCCCTCTTTCTGCTTGGTTTGAGGATCTTCTCGAGGAGGAGGTGGCCGTGCGCAGGCGAGCTGACGCGGCTGCCAAGGCCAAGCTATGGCGAGATTTTTGCAAGTCGGCCCTCGACGGCCCCGGGAGGATTGCGCACAAGCTTATTAAGCCGAAGATTGTCGAGCCTCTCCCTGTATCCCTGCCTGGCGACGTTGATTCCCTGCCGCAGGTGGGCTCGCTGGCGGTTGAGGGTGTTTTGCAGGAGTGGCTTCCGCTTTGGATCAAGGACTCGAGGAATGATGAGCAGCACGCCTCCGAGTGGAATGTGGCGACAACCCTTGAGCCCATCAGTGTCTCGCAGGTGCGCTCGGCCATCCTCTTCTTCGGCAGGAGGAAAGGCCTGGGCTGGGACTCCTTTCATCCGCGGCTGCTTGGGGAGCTCTCGGACGCCTTGGTTGCTCGATTTGCGGCCATCTTAAACCGGTTTGAGCTCACTGCCGAAGTCCCCGAGCTTTGGACGACGATGTTCGTGTTCATTCCCAAGCCTCCTCCTGACGTCGGCCGTCGGCCGATAGGGCTCCTGGGCCTATGGCCCCGCGTATGGTCCAGGGGGTGCGACAGCAACGAGTTCGCGCTTGGGAACACAGTGTGGATGCCAGCTTCTTTTGGGGCAAGTCCGGCGATACGGCGGCCGACAGAGCTGCTTACATCCACAACCTGCTGGTGGTGCATGCTAAGCGCCACGGCTTCGTCAGCGGCACTCTGCACTACGACGTGCAGAAGTTTTACGAGAACATCTCCCACGGCGCCATGCGCGAGGCTGGCAGGCACTACGGCTTTGACGAGCAGCTGCTGCGATGCCTGTGCGCGGTCTACCGTGGACCCAGGCGGGCCCGCTGGCTTGGCGCGACCTCGCGCCTGGTTGTCCCCAACGGCACGGTGATCGCGGGTTGCAGCTGCGCGACTGGCACCGTGAAGCTCATGACCCTGTGCGTTTTACGGACTATTGCCATTGAGACGCCTGTCTGCCGGCCGCTGAACTTGGTGGACGACTTGAAGGTGCATGCTGTGGGTTCTCTCCGCATTGTGGCTCGGCAATTGGTCAAAGCAGCCACGATTGTAGCCACTCAGATGAATGAGCTCGACCTTCCGCTCAACTTGGACAAGACCTGCTTCCTGTGTTCGAGCCCTGAGTTGCTCGAGGCTCTGCTGGACGACCCCGACTGGCCGTTCGACGAGTCCTTCCTGGCCACCACCCACCGTGACCTGGGTGGCGACGCTTCTGACGGCAAGGCTCGCCGCGTGCCTGTGCAAAACAAGCGCCTCCTCGAATCGTCGGCCGCTGCGACTCGGCTCTCGAAGATTGGGCGGGGGAGGGAGGCTTCTCGGGTGCACAGAGCGGGCCCAGTCGCTAAGGCCACGTGGGGGGCGCACATTAATGGTCTTGGGAATTCGGCTCTGAGGACTCTGAGGGTGGCCTCTGCCAGGTCTTTTGGCCCCCTCCAGCCTGGATCCTCCCTCGGCCTCACCTTCCTTCTTTGCGGGGCCCCCCAGCGGGATCCTCTTGTTTCGACGACGGTGGACGCCGTCAAGTCATTTGTTTCTGTCTGGTGGCACCGCAGTGTCACGAAGCAGGTCCTCCTCTCTGCGTTTGACGATGCACTCGTGTCTGCGAGGAAACCTAAACCCTGGGGCTCCGCCAAGCAACCTCTTGCCGCTCTTGTGTTAACGCTTGCTCGGATTGGTTGGAGGTTGGATGTCCCAAACGAGGTCCTGATTGACCAGGCGGGTCGCTCCTGGAGTTTGTCTGTGTTTTCCCCGGCCTTCTTCGCCCTTCGCGTGCGCGAGGCGTGTGAGGAAGCGATTGTAATGGAAGAGCAGGCTAGGCAGAGTGATTTTGGAGCCGAATGGCGCGGCCCCATCTGTCTCAAGCCGGCTCTGGATCTGATCTCGAAGCAAGGCTCAGCTTGGTCTGATCATTGTCGTCACTGCTTGCGCAGCCTTGTTACCAACAGGTATTGGTGCCAGCAGCGGTTTCATGACGCCTGTCAGGACATACCCCCTGCCTGCCTGGCCTGCCAGGCCCCATCAGGTACCATGTTTCATCGTCGATTTGATTGCCCCGCCCACGATGCGTGGCGACGGGATGTTTTGAGCCCCGACCTGCGCCGGGCAGCGGGTAGAGTGCGCCTTCTTTCGTCTAGGGCCCAGGAGTTGTTCGCCAGGTGTGTGCTCCCAGACCCCACTTGCTGGTTCTCGCGCCCCTCCGAACCCCCTGAGGCCACGGTCTATAGGCACAATTGGCCTGCCGACGGGCTGGTGCTCGGGGAAGGGGCCCATGTGTTCTTGGACGGCTCGTGTTTCGAGCCTGCCCTCCCTAGGATTCGATCGGCGGGATGGGCGGTGATCGTTACGGACGGGTGGGGGAAAGTTGCTCGTGCGATTTGGGGGCGCGTGCCCGTGTGTGAAGCTCCAGCCCAGGTCGCCCGTGACGGTGAGGACTATGCAGTGGTCTCTCTCGTTCGCCATGCTACTGTGTTCCCTGGGGCCAACTTGTATGGGGACTGTGCCGGAACTCTCGGGTATGTTTCGGACCCCGCGGGAGCTGTTTGTCCCGATAATGCTCGGGCGCATATGTGGCAGCATGTGTTTGATAAGCTCGACGGAGTGCGGTGGCGTAAAGTTCCTGCCCATTGCACCCTTCGTGATGTCGAGAACGGTAAGCTCAGCCGTCTCGAGTATCTCGGCAATAAGGCTGCCGATGAATATGCCAAGCGAGGCGCCTCATTGGGTCGAATCTCTGCCGCTGATCGTGCCGTCGTCGATGGTTGCTTTGAGTTGTCCCGGCTGTTGTGCAAGTTCTCAGCTGAGCAAGAAGCTCGGATCGGGGACAGTGGGCAGTTCGACCATGTCGGCATCGATTGGCTGAGGCACATCACCCTTGAGGTCCCTCCTCTCCCTGATGATCCTCCTTCTCCTTCCGAGCCTTCTCCTCCTGGCCGTTTTGATTGTGGCTCCGTACGGCGGCCTCCTATTGGGAGTGGCGGGACGGGTCGGGAGTCGGGAGGGGTGGGCGACGACGGTGAGGAGGGCAGGGCCGAGTGGCCCGACCTCCATGTCTGGCCGGCCCGCGCCCACGACATCATAGAGTGTGGGGTCACTGACCCCGCTGGGGCGGCCGCTGGCTCCCTGGCCTTCTGCACCCGTTGCGGTTCAGTCTGCACCGTCGGAGGGCACGGTGGCAAGACTGCTCTCGCGTCGGATTGTCTGGGCCATCGTTCCCAGGGTCGTGAGAGGCAGTTGGCTTGGATTTTGCAGGGCCGCCATCCTTCGAAGAAAGATTTTCGGGTCTCGCGAGCGACCGTGTTATCGGACCCAGCTCGAGACTACCTCGCCGCCAAGATGGGTCTGGACGACCTCCCGTTGCTCGCGCCACCTCGGTCCAGAGGCTCTCTGGCTTCTTCGTCGGGCGGGATTGGGAGGGTTTGGGCTGGGACTGGGGTCGACCTTCAGCGAGGCCTTTCACTTTACGGGTTCAGCTCTCGGGAAGAGGCTGAATCGCTCGGCGCTCGAGCGCAAGAGCGCCGACGGCAGGTTGTGCCGCCCGAGGAGGACTTGGACCCTCCCTAACTCGTTTGGAGTTTGTTTGATGCATGTTTAATGTGGTGGCACCTTTCTAGCCGTTGCCGAGCTCCTCCTCTCCTCCTCCTCCTCCTCCTCCTCCTCCTCCTCCTCCTCCTCCTCCTCCTCCTCCTCCTCCTCCTCCTCCTCCTCCTCCTCCTCCTCCTCCTCCTCCCCCTCCCCCTCCTCCTTCTCCTCCTCCATTCCTTTTCTGTATAAACAGATGTCCCCTGTCGCGCCCCGAGGCCAGCTGAAAAGGCGGGCTGGGCGGGCCGCCTCAGATTCCCTCACCATGTATGATACTGAAGCTTCAAACTTGCAACAGCTTCAAGGATGGAGGGTGGGTCGTTTTAACATGTGCAAGAATTCCACGGGTGGAAGGCGGGTCGATTTCAAGATGATGCTCTCGCCTTACCGCCGCACACAATTGTCTTAAAACATGCATGAATTTCACGGGTGGAGGGCGGGTCGTTTGAAAAAGGTGGCTCTCACATTACAGTGGCGGCCCATGCCAAGAAACACCATGCTTGCCTCCAGGGTGCCCTGGGTGTCTTGGGTTTCGATGGTTATTGCGATCGAAAGCGTGACGTTCCCACACAGAAAATCAACGGACGTCCTGGGGTCTCAGGGTCGGGTTTATTGTGGAAAGTTTCTTTGGACGGGCCCCCACTGTAGACCCACAAACGTTCGTCTTAAAACTGCAAGAACTTCACGGATGGAGGGTGATTCTTTTTTCAAAATTTGGCCTCAGCGCCGCGCACTTTCGTTATGAGAGCTTCCGACAGCCTCAAGGATTCCATTGGTTAGAGTCCTAGAAACTGCATGTTGGCACGATGTCGAAGTGCCAGGGCGCAGCAGTTACGCTGATTTGTGGTGTTGAAGTCGCAGGAATGGTGTTCCGACATGATTCGGGATCTTCAAGACGCATCATTTACGGTGATTCGCGGCGTTGAAGTCCCAGGCATGGTGTCCCGGTGCAGCTCAAGATTTTCAAACAAGTATTTTTCCAACGGGGAACTTCCTTCAGTGAAAAGGACTCCTCGTAGGGGCCTATGCGGGCGGGTGGTTTTCAAAATGCGGCTCTCCCCGTAACGCCGCGCACACTCGTTTTAAACATTTCCACAAGGTTCACTGGTTCTCACGGTTAAACGTACCAGACATGGCGTTCCGGAGCGATTCAAGACTAGCTACATTAATTCGCGGTGTTGAAGTCCCAGGAATGGTGTTCTGGCACGATTCGGTACCGCCGAGACATACTAGTCAGTTTAATTCGAGGCGTTCAAATCCTGAGAACGGTGTTTTGGCACGCTTCAACATGTTCACGACTGCCCCAAAACAGGGCAATCCAGTGGGAATGACCCTGTGTACGGGCCGATGAAAAGGGGATCTTGGAGGGAGGGTGTACGTCACCATCGTTGATGAGTCTTTGGTTTACACTGGTTATCCTCCTCCTCCTCCTCCACCCGTTCCTCTTCCTCCCCCTCCTCCTTTTCCTCCTCCTCCTCCTCCTCCTCCTGTTCCTCCTCCTTCTCCACCTCCTCCTCCTCCACCTGTTTTTCCTCCTCCTCCTCCTTTTCCTCCCCCTCCTCTGCCCCCCACTCCTCCACCTTCTCTTTGCCTGTTTCCATTCCTTCCCTCATAAACAACTCCTCCCTGTCGCACCCAGAAGCCAGCCGGAAGGGCGGACCCAGCATGTTCGCCTGAGAGTTCCTTACCATGTACGAAACTGAAATTTGAACATTCTCTTCAAATATACAAATGAAGTGCGGGTCACTTCCAATAAATGGCTCGCACAGTGCGGCCGCACACAAGTGTGTTAAACCTGTGCACGAACTTCACGGATGGAGGGCGGGCCGTTTTCAAAATGCGGTTTTCGCAGAAACTCCACGTGCAGTCGTCCTAAAAATGTGCACGGGTTTGACGGATTGACGGCGGCTGCTTGACAACATTTAGTTATCGCCTGAGCGCCACGCACACACGTCCCAAAATGCGCAAAAAATTCACGGATTGACGACGGGTAGATTTCAACATGTGGTTATCAAAATACCGCCGCGCACACTCGTGTCGAAATGTCCATGAACCGATTGGTTTTCAAAATGTGGTTCTCGCCTCAATGCCGCGCACATTCGTCCTAAAAGCTGCAAGGGTGTCACGGAGTGAAGGTGGCTCATATTCAACATGCTGTCATCGCATTAGCGCCGCGCACACTCGTGGTAAACAGTTGCAATAATTTGATTGGTTTCCGCGGCGACCGCACCAGAAACGGCGCTTTGGAACAAGTGACGCCTGTCAGGGCGCAACAATCAAATTGATTCGCTGTGTTGAAGTTCCAGGAATGGTGTACTGGCACGACTCCGGATTTCCAATGCGCAACCGTCAGTTGATTCGTGGCGTTGAACACTCGGGAATGGTACTTTGGCACGTTTCAGGATATTCAAACGGTTGTTTCTCAGCACGGCACCACTATTAGTGGAAATGACCCATTGCAGTGTCAGCTTGCGATTAACAAATCCGTGGGGGGGCGCGTTCTTTTTTAATACCTATATATATACACACATATACACGAACATACATACATACATACATACCTACCTACCTACCTACCTACCTACCTACCTACCTACCTACCTACCTACATACATACATACATACATACATACATACATATGTATATATACATATGTATATATGCACATATATATATACACCCAAAACAGTCCCTGCTCGGGCGGATCGCGGAGTGGCGCCCGCCAGGTTGAAAATCAACGGCGGCACCGCTGGCGATTAGCGCCGACGCCTTACCGCCAGCGAGAAGGCGACAAACAGCACACAGTGGGGGAGGGGAAGGGGGCGGGAGGCAAAGGCGGCAGAAGCAGGGGCCGTGAGCCAGGGCGACACATGTTCGAAATGAAGAAGAGCTGCTGTCGGCGCTCGTCCCCGCACTTGCCGTGCTCTTTTCTGTCGAACCGATGCGCTTCCTTTGCCCTGGCCGCAGCCTGGTGGGCGCCAGCTGCCTCGTGGGCCCGCGAACAAGGCGGGCTGGACGAAAGGGGGGCGTGGCCAAGCGGGAATTTGCCCAGAAGCTCACACCACTGGTTTTCCGAGCGCCCCCTGGCGCCGAAAGCGGCCATGCATCGAGGACTGGCCCC